AAAAAAAAAAAAAAAAAAAAAAAAAAAAAAAGTGTTATAATGAAACGTATACTTTGACTTCCGTCTCTCAATGCGAGGGCAGAGGAAAAAAACACTGGCGGCAAGTCAACACCTGCTAGAGGTGACTTCTGTGCTGAGCCCTAAATCTAATCACATTTCAAACTAATACAATTATAGACAGCTGAGCGTCAGTCTGGATATTTAAGGTGGAAACAGATAAAATGCTGACGCAGACAAATGCAAAGAACAAAACAGAAACAGCTGCATAGAGGTGAATGCATAGATTGTGTGTGTGTGTGTGTGTGTGTGTGTGTGTGTGTGTGTGTGTGTGTAGCAGCACAGGGGTTGGGGTCAGTGCAGGAAGTCGCAGTCATTTCTACCAAAGCACACAGCGTGGGACTGCAGTGAGGTGCAGCGAGGCAAAACGCAGCATCTTCAAGCACAATGTGGCTTTGAAGAATGACACAAGTGCAAAAACGATTTCATTATAAGAGCACGGCATCAAAGAACATCCAGCTCTAATTGGAGAGGTTTCACACTGGACGATGGACGATGATGTGTAATGTGGAACTTCAGAGAAACTGACCACAACCCCCACTATGCATCGGTCACTGGCCTTATTTTACACATTGCTCCCGTTGAATCGAGGGCGTGTGGTTTGTTTCTATTGATGGCGATACCAGTCAATACCTAATGTATTCATTTATCAATACTAATCGTAGTTAGAACAGAATAACGGAAAAACTATGTGAAAAAATGTGAAACGTTTTTGTGGAAAATGTCTGGAAAATAATTAGTAAGATTTGTGAAAATTTGTAGTGAAAAACATCAGCAAAATATTTTAAACATGTCCAAAAGATATCTGAAAATATCTGTGAAATATCCATATTATTCGTAAAATATGTGAAATATACCAAGAAATGACATAAATATTATTTAGTGAATGAATTATTTTGATCATGTAGTGAATGTAGCACTAACATTATTTATGGGATCTTATATTTTGCATTAATGATCAATAAAGCTGCAGGATGTTGGTATTCCATCAGATTTAATCACATGTCCAGGGGACGTGGTGGACTGTTAGCCATGTTAGCTCCTCCCGTTTATGTTTACAACCCCCGCACTCATAGAAAAACAATTAGTAAAAGATGTGAAAAATATTTATCAAATATATCAAAAATATATTAGTCAGTGATCGGAAAAAGACAATGCGACAAAAAGACGAACAATTCAACATTTTAAGTTTAAAATGATACATTTAAGTCTTGGTTGGATGCAATAAATGCACATTAACACGTGAATATGACAATTTAATGACAGCTCACACTCAGTGGAAACCGGAACATGCAGCTCATACAAACGTTGCTTATGAAAGATAATAATAGACAACGTAGGTGTTGCGTGGGAGATCCAGGTCTGTGCCGTGTGATTTTTAACCATCTTAACATATGAGAACAATACTGTACAATATTGTAAAAAAGTGAGAATCAAAAGTATAAAACATGCTTCAGTATCACAGCAGGATGTCATGCTATGTTTGGTGTGTGTGTGTGTGTGAGACTTACGTAGCCAACGTCTGGCCGGTAACAAGTGTATGCTCCCAGAATGCTGTGCAGCACATCATGATATGGCCCGCCCTGACGATTGACAGAGAAATAATGAAGACAATGGAACAAACAGGGCAGAAATACACTCGCACACACACCCTGTCCCAGAAAGTTAGGTGTCAGATTTACTGTGGTACAATATTATCAGAGCAATGTCACTGGGCTTCCCTTAGTTCTTGCCAAGGTTACCAGGGCAACATTGTGTTAAATAGAATAAAAAAAGCTGAATGAGACATTTTCTCAATAACAACAAAGTGTTTTGATACAATAAAACTAAGTATTCTGTAGGGGGGGGGCTAAGCTTCTCTCACTGACCTGCTGGAAGATACACAGATGGGGGAAGGTTCTTGAGATGTCCAGCTTGATCAGCTCCAGACTCGACTCCCGATCTGACGAACCAGGATCTGGAAGCCAGAACAATACTTTACAAAACATCCTAAAACGTGTATAGTATAACCTCTAATCTGACATCCCAGAGACTTCACTTTTGTTAGCCCAGATGGACCAGGATTATAGGACAGGGCCACAAGCTGATCTATTCTGTCTCTACCTTCAGGTTCGGTCTCTAAGGAATGTGCCGGCGTGCTCCTCCACTTCTCTTTGGCCCGGGCCAGACAGATGCTGTACAGCTCTGTAGGGACACACAGCAGCACCACAGTACGATCAATATGAGACCGAGCAGAGGACATGATGACTGGACAGAAATGATAACAGGATCCAGCTCTTCACATTACTCTGCAGCAGTGACACTCAAGGTGACTAAGGGAAAAAAAAGAGATCTCCCTCATTACTTTAATTAAACAGCAAACATTTGTTTACATTTGGCAAACTGGCAGCAGTGAAAGCATGCTGAACTAGCTAGTCAACAACATACCCACGCATGTACAGACAACGATCACTGGGTTACTTTGATACTGAGGGAAACCTAAAAATGTGTTGATTCTCAGGCAAGTTCTGGAGTTACGAGGAGCATCTCTTCTTCTGGATTTATGTGCATTTGCGATGGACATCAGAGACTGTGGATAAAAAGGAGACATCCTCGGGGAGTGCAAGTGAATCTAAAAATATGCGTAACCCGTCTGTGTTTCAGATTTCCCCCCTAACGTCTATTCCACTTCTGTCCCAAAATGTGGCAGCAATAGTAGCCACCTAGCAGTAGTATACAATAGTGGCAAACGCTGAGCTTTCCATTCACATTAAGCAGTACTAGTAGTTGGCTGGCTGGTTTCCATAACAGTAGAGAGAGCAGACTTAAAGGGGCCATATCATGCTCATTGTCAGGTTCATACTTCTATCTTCTACTGGAAGCTTGCGAGAAAAATATGCACCTTTGCAACGGTAGTTCTCAAGCCGTGGGTAGAAATACTCAGATGTGTGTGGAGGGGGCGGTATATCCTCATGAGCCTGAGTGAGTTTTACATGATAAGCCCCCTTCAATAATAGTAGAAATGCTAGTAGTAGCATTATCAGCAGTAATAAATCTACTTTACTTAAAACGGGGGAGTACAGTCACTGAGCTTTGTACGAGTGTGTGAGCAGAGCGATAATGCATAGCACTGCTCTCCTGAGGCGGAATAGTACGAAGCAGAGCGGACCAGCTCAGCAGTCAGCGAGCGCTTATCTGCAAGTAGCCCTCGGGGTGCTGAGGAGCTCTCGCAGAGTGGCTCGACGTTGGTGCTCTTTTAGCAAGTGGAGAATGAATCTGCAGTGTGTGTGTCAGCATACATCTATCTTTGTGAGGACCAATTTCAGTTTTAGACCTTCAGAGTGAGGACATTTTGGCCGGTCCTCACTTCCTCAAAGGCCAAACAGGCCTTTGAGGAAGTGAGGACCATCTCCAAGTGAGAAACATCTCCAGGCAAACAAGACCTGTAATCGATCCTTTTTGTGCCCAGATCTAGAAAAGGACTATTTGTTTTGTGTGTGTGTGTAATCTCCATCAACACTTGAGAACTCATTGAAATGCTACTTGTTCCCTCTTGTACTAGGATAATCATTGGACCATGCTCCTTCTTAATGAACACACTGTTCCTTCCTCTTCTATTTATCTCACTGCCACTTATTCCCTGAGACACCCGTCTGTGCGTGTGTGTGCGTGCGTGCGTGCGTGCGTGCGTGCGTGCGTGCGCATACAGGTGTAAGCAGTCAGGTCACAGTGCAGATCAGGACATGACAGTCACAGGGCAGGCACAGTTACGGCCATTCTGAGCCATAAATACCACACACACACACTCAAATGCAGACTCATACCGTGTGTGATGTTGAGCTCGTTGCCCACGGCCAGGCTCCACACTTTGCCTCTTACGCTGGGGGGGAGGCCCTGCCACCAGAGGTCTCTCACTCGGCGAGATGTGCACCTGGGGGAGGGTCAATGTGGGTTAAATGTGAAAGGAAAGTCAAGTACACAAGAGGCTGCTTGATAGTTGTGTTTCACAGAAAGAAACTATCATTTATTGATCAGAACCACAAGGTGGCAGTCAGTCCCTCCACTGCTGCAGTCACTTATTCCAGGAAATGACTTCCCTTCAGAGAAAGACTAACCCAAACATCTTTTACTCTTTATGTTTGCATCATATTTTACTTAGTTGGTCAAAGTTCACACTTAGGGGAAAAAAGTAATGAACTTAGTCCGAGGTGTTCCACACTAAGGAGTGGTGAAACTTTGATATGGAATCCAACATGACTCTATGACACTGATGTTAATTCAAATCAACAGGCTGGAATGACTGTGTGGCAGTTATGCTTGTAAAACAGGTTGTGTGTTGTTAATGATAATCAACTCACAATGAATCATAATGTTTGCATGTGACGCGTTTGCTTTTTCTCACTGCAGTGCTCGTCTACAGCAGCTGTTGGGCGTATGCTCCCGATATGGTGCAAACTGTGACATCACAATAAATGCCAAAAACCAGCGGCGTGATAATGATTTGGTGCACTGTTAAGAAAACAGACAATTGGTGACCCCATGTCGGCATTAAGGAGATAGTTTGGACTTAAAGTCATATTTACTTTTTAAGGTGTCTAAAATACGTTCAGCTGTCGCCCCCGTCCACAGTAGTACATTACTTTTAACACAAAGCTGCAGGGTTACCATCAGAGGAGGTTTTGCAATGAGTAATTTATGTGATATGGAGGATTTTTGCAGTAAATATTTGCAAATACCAGCTTATACTATACGTTTCTGCCTTCTATATTGGCTCTGAAATGAAGAGAAGTGACTAAACTGAATGGTAAAAGTCTGTTTACTACAATCAATGCTCCAACTCTGCTTTCTACTTGATTTCTAAGCAACTGACAAGCTTGAAGTGGTTCCCAAACGATCCCTGGCTATTTTTAAACTTTAAATTTTTCAGGGAATTTGAGCACAATGCAGTATTTGTACTGGAAAATGTCTTCTTGGTGCAAAGAAGTTAAAGTCACAGAGAAACTGAAGTCAAAGCATCTTTAGCTTCTGTACTGCGATGTATTTCATGGAGAAACCGAATATTTAAGTGGTGTATAGTTACAAGAGGGATTTAAATAAAAGCCTTTGCATTTGTTAGGGCCACTAAAAAGGGGACGGGCTTAGAGTTCAGCGCTATACGAAGCTACAAGGGACTGTTGGTTCCACTCACATATCCGTCACCTGTTAGATCAGGAGGACAACGAGGGAGAGATAAAATGGTGCGACACATCCCTTCCTGTCTCTCTCCATATTGCTTTGTTAGCTACTCCGTTCCACAAACAGTGAAGGTGTATTCAGTATATTCATCATTCTAAACTCAAGTCGTCGTTTGTACTCACATTGTACTCCAGTTAGGCAAGATCTCCTGGTTCCAGATCTGGGCGGCGGTGCCGATGCTCTCCTCCAGCTTACAGCGATCCTCCAGCTGCTTCTTTCTCTTCTGAGCCTCCTTCAACTCTACAGACAGGAGTGTGGGGAGAGTTGGGCAGATACAAAGCAGAGGGAACGTTAATGAAAGAGGTGGAACGCAGTCTTAAGAGAGACATCGTCCGTTTGGTCCTGTAGTCGTGTGCCAAGCTTCAGAAGCTCTGGAGCGAGACAGGAACCTTAATTACTTTGTAAAGATGAGCTCACCTCTCTTCTTGGCCTGGGCCACCATCTCTTCATACTGCTGTCTGTGTTTCTGAGCCTCCTCGGCTGGCTTGGCAGGCAGATTCCTGTAACACGCATAGATCAACGCAAAGGAAATTAATCAGCACCGATGTGTTCTCTGAGCTTTGCTTGCAATATTCATGTTGAGCAGGCTTCTGATGTAATACAACACTGCTCAAGGTCCATTTAGTAGCTTTGCTGGAGCTTCCATTCATTTTGCATCTTGGGCTGTACCAGATGTCATTTTTATACATTCAAAGCTTCTATCAAGGTTTTCGCATGAAGCTTTGGAAGTCTGTAATCATATTTGATGACGTTTTAGATTGTTTAGTTATATAAATGTAATTTATTGAGCTGCTAAATAAAAACAGTGTGAATTTTTGGACATGAATACATCCATCTTTTTCAATACATTTTGACTTTTGAAATGTACAACACCCAGCAGTTATTGGAAATGTTTGGATCACACAAGTCAGAAACAATCCTACTTAGCCACCACTGGAATCTAATTCTACAAATAGTAAAACACTAAAAAGATCAGTGTAGCCTTATCTGCAACTGTGCAGATATACAGATGTTTATACGTCATGAACAGGCAAGCAAAGAAAAATAAGAATTATACCCAGCATTCAAAAGTTGATTTAGAATGCGAATGTTAAAAGTCTACACTCGAAGACAACATTCAATTTTTTTTTTTTAAATTAACTCAAATTGCATTTGCTAGCTTAAACCCCAAGTCGTGGATGAAAGCTTCAGAAAAAGCAAGTTAGTGAACATGGAGCTAAGATTTATTTTTATGATCATTTTATGACATTTTCATTCTGTAAATTTAGTTCAAAGTATTTTAGTATTTGCTCTGTTATTTTTCTGCAAATATAATCTACCTGCACTTCTTGCATGGGGGCGCTGTATTAGCTCTCGTCAGTAGAGTTTCATATGATTTTAGTGGAATGCTTGTGTCATGATTGCACCTTAATAAAATACTCTTCTTCTGTCTTCTTTAAATATAAATAACACTGCACTCTAATTTTGCTAAGCCCAACACACTGACACTTTGCACTATACAGTAAGTGCACTTTTCTAGATGAGCTTTACCAGCAGGGGGTGACAGTAAAGAAGGAAAAGAGGTGGCAGCAGCTGAACTCAGAGTTTTGCCAGTCATGGTGGGACAGAATAAACTTCATTGTGTACACACAGGAAATCCAGCTAAATTATACGATTGTTTTCATTCACCATGTTGCCGAAGAAGAAGTGCTAATCTTGTGGCTGAGCAACACCACTGAAGGAAACATGAGGCCGAGCGTATGCATGCATGCATGTCTTTCTGTATGTATGTTAACAAAATATAAAATGCTAAAAGAACAAACAAAAAAGAACAGGGTAATGGAGCCAGGCTGAGGGAGGGCTATTAAACTTTCAGCAGCACCTCTCCTTTACCGCCTGTGATACAAACAGACACAGCACAATGCAGAAAGGAGTCCAATGACCGAGGAAGGAGGACTGATAAAGAAGGAATGAGGGGAAGATAAAGACAGAAAGGCAACAGAATGTGGCTTCATTGTCTGATAAGCAAACTCCACTGGCAGTGAGAGAGAAAGAAAAATGTGGGATAGTCCGATATCCCACAGATTGAAGAGAGTGTGTGTGTGTGTTTACATACGCAGGTCTGTCCTCCAGTATGAGTGCGGTGGTGGAGAGTGGCTCAAAGTCCAGGTTTTTCCTCACACCGTGCCTGGGAGACGTCGGGTTGCCAGGTCCAGCTCTGCCACTCTTTGTTTCATATTCCTGATGACGAAAACCGCACATTTAGGCACAGAAACGTAAAAACTAAAAGTGGAGTTTAAATTACAACATTTATACACACACACACAGAGCAAAATTGGTGGATAAGCTGCTTCATGTTCCTTGTCAAAGTATGAATAGGTTTATTCATGCAGCTCCAAAGCCAGAGAAATTTGCCACAAGGGCCACAGCTGACCACAAAGCCACTGCTGTGGTCAGGAGAGATAATAAAAAATGAAAAGCAATAAAAGAGGACTTGTAGGTTGACGACCTTGTGACGACGCTCTTTTGGCCTCTGAGCATTTGTCAGCTGCTTTCTAATGAGTGTGCGCTTTCTGCTCCACCACTGGGAGTGTGATACAGGCCTATAGAGAGGGGAGGCCATGTGACATTCAGCCTTTTACAACCACAGAGCAGTTTAACACAAGGCCGACTATCAGCTGACATACAGGTTATGCGTGTGTGTGTGCGTGTGAGTGGTAACAACTGAGCATAATATCCAGAATCAGGGAGGTGATAGAGCACAAACAGTTCAGGGAATACCTTCAGAGGAAACTGTCACATTGTCTCTCTAGTTAATTAGGGAGCTACTGTAAATAGGGCAAGTGCAATACGAGTACACGCACACAGCCCACTGTGTGTCCAAAATGGACTCCGGTGTGCGTTGAGCTGGTTAATAATGCAGGCTGAGGGCCGCAAGCAATCAGCTTAACGCTGTGCTGCCACAGGGATGCTCACATTGATCAGCACAGGCCACAATACAGACAGAACAATCCATTCCTACAATAGGAGTGTGTGTGTGTGTGTGTGTGAGTGTGCACGCAGGACTGTTCGTGATGCGGCCATGTTATCAATCTGCCCTTGTGTTATTGTCTGTTGTACCAGAGCCTTGGAGACAAATAAAGGTAATTCAATTCGATTCAGGAAGGCAGGAATCACAGAACTAAAGTAAGAGGGACATAAAAGACATAAAGCCAGCATGAATTACTGATAATAGCCACAACCTTTACTTCTTGAGAAAGTTAAGCTCTTTACAAGATCAATACAAATGCCATAAAACAGAAGAAAAAGCCGTAACAAGTCTGCAGCCATGCTAGCAGCTCTGTGAGGCTGTACTTAGGCACCACAGTGCTTTGAGCTAAATGCTAACGTCAATGTGCTAACACGCTCACAATGACAATGCTAACATTCTGATGTTTAGCAGATGTTTGCCAGGTTTAGCATCTTAGCTTTAAGGAATAGTCCAACATTCTAGAACATGCACGTATTTCGTCTTTTGCTGAGACTAGCATGAGAAGAAGAGTGAAACTCTCACATCTCTTTAATATGAAGCTAGGAGATAAATAGCTTTGTATGAAAACTGGAAGCTAGGGGAAAACGGCTAGCCTGACTGTCCAAAGTGAACAAATAAATCCTCTACAGACACCTTTAATGCTCATTGACTAACACATCATATTTTCTGTGCTTAATTCAAAAAGCAAAAACAAGCTGTGGGTTTATGGGAGACATTCTGTATATCTAAAGGGCAGATACGAGAGTGAATGAAAAAGCCAAAAATGTAAGAGAGATTTAGCTTTAAAGGGGAAGTAAACACAGAGGATCAGTTCCTAATTATCTTATCTTGCAAAGACTCAAGAAAGGCCATGTCACAAAAAAAAAATGGCCACATTTCAAAGTGATAGCAGGGTATCACCTTGTGGACGTGTGTCAATATCCTCACTTTCATCTATTCTGTATCCATCTATCCTTCCCTGGCAAGCTAACCTCTAACAAGCTAGCTGGGAACATGCTAGCACTGGTCAGTCACAATAGCTAGTTTATTGTCGGATAGCAAGAAAACTAGCTTGGTAGCTAACTGGACACTAGGCTAGCACATTTTATTCAAGAGAGGAGAGGAGGTTTAAATAATAGGATGGTGCGAAACAGAGGG